AGAGAGAGAAAAATGTAAACACATTTTTAAGCAGAAAACTATAAGCAAACTGAAATCGGGAGTCATGGTCCTTGTTTTACCTTAATTGCAATTTCCACTTTCTTGCATTGTGCTTGGAAGTCCTTATGAATTAAAAGAATAATTTTTCATTACGAACAGCTATGTTTCATAATACATATAACATTCTTGTTCCAATTATATTTAGTGTGAAACAAAAGATTTCAAAGTGAGAGCATAGTTCACCTATCAAAAACTTTGGTGGCCCCCGGTATAAGATGATGAAGAAATGGTACATACACCACTACTCTACGCGATTGCAGCGAGCTCACAATTTGATTTGATTCTAACATTCATCAAATTATGTAGTAGAATAACCAAGTGCTTTGATTTCTTGATAAACTAACAACAATACCTATATAAAAAGTTCATCAATTGAGATAACTTAAAATGTTATTTTGCTAAAAAATATTGCTTCTCTTTTAATCTATTTCTTAGTAAAATAATTTTTCAGTTAACATATTCTATTTGTTCTCACACATCACAGGGTTTTCCTTTGCTGTCTTATGCGTATCCTGTTTTTCGCTTTATTATAATTAATATATATATATATACTCGTATAGTGTTCGAATTATTTTTCTATAAAATAGAATAAATTCTTATAACTACAAAGTTTTATAAAAAAGTAACATTAATTTTTTACTTTGAAAGTTATAAAAGGCACATAAAAATATATATAGGGTACCTACATTAATTGAAATCTTAAAGTTCTAAATTTTCTAAAATACGTATAAATCAAAAGAGCAAACACAATTCTATATACTTAGTATAAAATTTTCAATTTATGATTTTGAACTAGATTTTGTGCCACTTCAATAAAGGAAAAAAAAAACATAAAATAAAATTATATTTTATTTTAATTTTCCATCTCATTAAAATAAAATCCAATAAAAAGAATTTGCCCTATAAAATTATAGCTTTTGATTATATATCGTACCTATTATACGCTGCAAATGACTAACTAAATAATTACATATAATAAATTTTTGTTTTAGAAAAATATTGGTATTTTATCATGCTTTTTAAAACAACATATTTCATATATGGTCTCATTTTAAAATAAAATTTCTATAAAAGTTATAATTATTATACTTAATAGGAAAAACATTGCTAATTTTAAAAAAATCCGGTTAGATAGCTATAAATTACATGAATTTTAGCAATAAATGTATAACATAAGGATAAATATAAAATAACAATTCCAATATCCAAAATACTGTTAGAAAATAACCAAAATTTTCCATAATATTTCTAAAAACCCAAATTTTTATATTAAAAACTTGTGCATTATATAAGGAATTATTTTATTATATTCATAATTTTTGCATAAAAGCTGAATTAATTTTACATCCACATTATTAATATTATAATTAAAAAAATAAAATTACTAAAAATAGTGATGTCCTTGGAAAAAGAGTAATGTGGGCTATAGTCTATAAACGTTTATTGGCACATGTATTTTATACTCAATTTTTAAGTATGTCAACAGTAAAGTGCCATTATAATAAATATGGTGTATGACATATAAAATTTATTCATCAAAATCGATGCGACATTAAACCCATTTCTAAATTCTTATAAAATATTAAATTAATGAAACAGTTAATATCGATTTTCTTAACTTTGTTAGTAACTTTTATAAAATGTTTCTTTTTGCGTTTAAATAAAATGCAATTTATTTTAAGTCACGTTAAATTTCCATATTTTTTGTCATATTTAGAAAAACTATGCTTTTTTTCATCATCCTTAAATAATTGTTGTATATTAATTATAAGGAGATTCTTCTTAGAATATCTTACTGCTGCAAATTCCGTATCATAATTGGTTTTAATATAAACTCATGAAGTTGATGCAACAAACTGATGAAGTTGGAAAGCCCAAAAACAATAAAGTGAAATTTATAAAAACTTAAAATCATAATTCAATAAGGATTTCATAGTGCCCCAAATATCTCCAAGATAACGCGAAAATTAAAAATATTTAAAATACTATACTGTATTTAATTTTAAAGTATGTACATATTAACTAAGTTCTAAGGGACGGAGGATGAAAAATTTTGTAGTCTCAGTTTCATAAATTATTAATTTATTGTTTTTGAAAACATATCGCAAGATTCATAATTATGTGAAAGTGCAATAACAAAACTCCCATATAAAGAAAATTGGCAAATTTATTTAGAATAAATAAAATAAATTTGTAATTAACAATATGTTGAAACTTTTGTAAGCTAAAATAATTAATTCCCTTGACATTATAATTAATATTATATTGTTCTACACTAGATATACATACATATATATTATATACAATAAATAAAAGTTTCTCAAATAAATAAAAAATTCCAAAAATTAAAACAAGCATAAAACCAACTTTCATTTTAAAATTTTCGCTCTTTCTCGTTTTTATATCAGAATGGTCTTACCACCTTAAACTATTTCATACTTTTTTATATTATTATGGATGTTTATTTTATTCTCATATAAATAATTAGCTAATTAAAATAAGAAACATGACAATTAAAAAGTTGTAATAAATGTAAATAAAAAACAAAAAATATGGTTAATGTAATTAATTAGGGTTATAATATGAAACATTTATTTTAAAAGTTTGTTGAAGGAAAGCGTGACTTTCAAATAAGCAAATAGCTGTAAGAATATATAAAATTATAAATTGTATACACAATTGCTATGGCGTGTATACATAATTTTCACAATATACATAACGTGATCTTATAATACATACATATATAAAAAAATACGTAGATGGAAAGGATATGATAGACTAATTTTACCTTAAATTACCATAATCATTAAATTATCTTAACCGTTACTAGCTAAACTAAAAAAAAACTTCCCCTTAAATAAAAATAAAATTAAAGAAATCATACGCCTTAAAAGAGAAATCCTATATATATATATACTTGTTATACATTATTCAGGAATTATTTAATCAAATGAAAATTCCATATACAAAACGTAGACTACTTTTTGAACAGACATGGTTCTAGACTTATATGTATAGGGTATATTCGTTACCAAAAAACACACCATCTAATAAATCTGAACTAACGATGAGTTTCTCTAATAATTTTTGAAGATTAAATATTGTTAAGGTATTCTAAAACATGACATTTATGATAAATAAAATGGCCATTTTAAGAAAAGAAAAAAAAAATTTTATGCTGTACCTAGACCTAATTTAGAAAATATTATAAAAACACGCAAATTATTAATATCTAATATAATGTATATCTTAAAGATTCAATTACCGCTCCCTTAACAGACGTGAGCTATTTTAATAAATTAATGTGAAAATGTGTAAATAATATACATATATGCATTAATATATAGGTATGCATATTACTATAAGTTATTAAGTGAAAAATTGTGAGAGTTGTAAAAATTGTAAGAAAACAATTAAAAAACTCATATTTCGTATATTTAGGGTGTGTGCAAAACTACTAAATTTTATATTGTATAATAAAAGTAAGAATTTTATTTTGACAATTTAATATAAAAGTCATCAAAATTTTCAGTTTCTTATATTTTTGCAATATATATGCATATACTCGTATGTACGTAATAAGTAATAACAAATAAAATAATATTTTTTTAATAATAACGTGATGAAATTAAAATAAATTGAATCAATAAAAAAGGATTTGAAGGATCGGTTATAGTTTACTTATATAATAGAATTTTTAATGTTAAAAACGAATAAGATTATTTTCTTTTTCATCTATTTTCAGCGATTTACATTTTGTGCATGCTAATGATAATTTTGTGAAATTGATCACATTTTAATACTTCCAACTTATATTTTAAAGATCTTTGAATTTATATTTAATTGTAATATCAAAATTCACAATCTCATATATACATATATTAACATTTATTATAGCTATGAAATTATGCTTCCTATTGTAATAATATTAAAATTTGTACTTTAAAAAGTTCAATCTGGCTTTCAATAATCTAAAACGCATGCAATTCAAATTGTAAATTATTCAAAAGATCTAAACTATTCTCAAATACGAGCAGTAAAAATTACAACAAAATCAAAATTAATTGAATTCAGCCGTTTATTTTAGATTAAGTAAGCCATATTTGATTTAAGCCAGTATAAAGATATTTGTTCCTTTAGTCCTTGCCTAACTAAATTAGACGACATAAGTTTTGTTTTATTTTCAATAAGACAAAACTTTAATTTTTACTTCATCTTAAACTTAAATTTTATTTCAATGTAATACAACGCTAGTTCCATAAGCCTTGGTCTCCCTACATGGAACACTATATAACTTACAATACACATATTCATACATATACATACATAAATTTCCTAAAAAACAAACTTCATTTACTCATACACACCATGATGTCTCACACTCAAAATTTTTTCCTATCAAATTACAAAAAACAAAAAGAAAAAACAGAAAAATAAAATTAAATATACAAGAGCCTTGTGAACAAAATCAGTATAATATTAATGTTTCACAGTTCGGTCTCAAGAATTTCAATAAATCAACTTTAATCACCTACATATAACAATAATAAAATTATTATAGTTATGTACAAAATATATATAAATGTAAATATATATGGATATATACACTTATATACCTACACATAATATTTTGTATATAATTTATATATAATGTGTATACGCAACTATAAATATATAATATGTATATCCTTTTATATACCAAAAACCAATTAAATTTTAATTTTTAATATTAAGTATAGGCGTTTATATAACTTATATAATATAGAAAATACAATGCTTACAACTATATTATGAGAGAATGAATAAGAGGAAGGAAATTACAAAAGAGCAAAAAAATAAAAAAAAAAGAATAAAATTAAAAAAAAATCAGGAAAAAAACAAACAGAATAAACATAAAAAAAAAATAAAAAAAAAAACTAAAAATAAACAAAATCACTCACCTGTGTCTGGTGGTAGACGGCATTCGAGAAATTTTGTAAATATAAAAAAATTTTCCATACTCCTCTTGTTTCTCAAACTCTCCACCGTTGCAAGCGCTTTCAAATATTCAAATAGAAACTACTCTAGTAGTCTTTTATGTTATATAGTATATACGTATGTACCCTATTTTTTTATTTTTCTCTCTATTTTCTGTAACAATATTTTATAGTATTCGCGTATATTTCGCTTTCGTGTACATAAAAAAAACAAAATCAAAATTATAATAAAATTTCAAATATTTTCTTTAATTGTGTATGTTTCTACTTTTTATATACACTAAAATTTTTTTTTTTTGTTAGTTAATTGTAAATTTCTGTAGTGATTGCAAAAATTGCATAACTTCTTTTTTCTCTGTCTCTCTCTGTTTTATCTTCGTCTTCTCATTCCAAAATTTAAAAAAAATTAATTTGTTTATTTTACATACAAAATTTTGTTTTGAAATTTTTTGAAGAAATTTTTCAAAAGTGATTTAAAATTCCAAGAATATTTAATAGCTAAGCAATTCAGAATCCAAAATGAAAATTTTCCTTTTTTTTTTCAATTTAAATTTAAATTATTTTTTAAATACAAATAAAATAATATGTACGTGCATATGTGAATTTAAAACAATTTAAAATTTCTACTCATTAAGTTTTCATAATGGTATTTTAATTTTAATGAGAATTATAGTAAAAAACTTTACAATGTTACAATACACACATAAATAAAATATTTGTAAGTAGATACAAAAAAGGATGTGGAAAATTCACCACAAAACAGAATGAAGGAAAATAACAAATCACAAAATAATAAAATGAAAAATAAAAATACAAAATTTTTTTTTTTATTTTTGCTTAGTTTTTGTTTTTGAAACAGAAAAAAAAAATATTGATTATATTGGGGTATTTAAATTTCACTATAATTTAAAATTTTACAAGTATATACTTATATAAAATTTCCCTACACACATTATATATACTTGAACACATACTTACATACATGCACGTATAGAATACACAAGAAAATATTTAATTAAAATATTCTTTTTCCAAATGAGTACTTAAGAAGATGCTCTTATTGAAGATGTTTTTCTTAATATTCTTTTAAATTTAATTAATTTTTATGATTTACAAATTTAATATTATAAATTTAAATTTATTATTTTAATACTTTGTTTTATATTAAATTAAAATTTCAATGAAATCAGAGAAAAAAAAATAAAATTCTTGAATTTCTCACACTTTTTGTTATAAATTTTTAAGGATTTATATTTTGATGCTTTTAAAAAAAGCTGGCCCCCATCACAAACAAACAAACTAACAGAAAATAAAACTAATTACAATTTTTTTTCTTCATTTCATTTATTATTATTTTTTTTTCCTTTTATATATAAAAATAAAATTTTTTTTTTCGCTTTTAATTTTCTACTCAACACTTCCCTTAATTCATTTCTTTTACAATATTATTCTTTCTTATTTTTTGATGTGTGGTTGGTAATATTAAATATAAAGAAACGAACAAATAAATTAAATCAAAAAGAAAAAAATCCCGAAAATATAAGAAAATATACTCTTGAGACTTGCATATATAAACTCTATTGGAAGACCTTTTCGAGACTGTTCGCATTTAATTTTTGTATAACTTTGCAAGATTGATAATAATATCCTTTGGCTTTGGTTTTTCTCTCATTGTTCTTTTTATCTACTTTTTTTTTGGAAGATTTAAAAAATACTTTTTTTTTGTTTTCTGCTTTTTTCGTAAAATGATAATATAGTTATAGTTTCCGGATTCATATAGTCACTTTTTTGAATTAGGAAACGCATGAAATGGAAGTGGAATTGAGTATGTTCGTTCTGATTCCACTAATTCATGTTACTAATTTTCATTAAAAGAAATATTTTTCAAATCTATTTGTTTCAAATATAATTGTGAAACTCCATATTTTACTTCCATATAATATAAAAAGAAACAAAATTAATAATTTTTCTAACATAAATCAGTAAATAATTTGTACATAAATTCATTTGCTGCCAAATCTCCTCAATGGATGTCAGACATAAAAAATTCACAATTTATTTTATGACTATTCGAAACTATGTCATACCAAATACATTCTATAAGTCTATCAGCAAAATATCTCGAAACAATCGAATCTACAAGGGTGACGCTTTGTATATAATACTCTATTAATAATGAAGGCCAATAATTTTCTATTTATTACACTTAGCATTTCCGAATACTTAAGTATTCAGTTTGAACTAAAACACAAAATATCAAATACAAATACTAAGAGAAAAGTACTTTGTTTTTAATCACTCTGTAAAATATATTTTGCAAAAATATAAAAAAGAGAAACCAACCCAAGGACTTTAAAGGATATTACAAATTTTATAAAAGTTTAACACTTTGTAAATAGAAAAATATGAGTTTGCGCATAAAACCAAAATTCCTTTACCGTTTTAAACTTAAATAGCCACATAATCAAATTATCAATCGTGTATTATGTTTCTGAAGCATTTTATTTATTTTGTTCCCTTTAATGTTAAGGATTTTGATGCTTTGATGCTTTCTCTTTATATAAATAACAAAATATAATATTATTCAAAAAAGAAAATTCCATAATATTTTATATTTAACGTTTATACAATAAAATTGTTTACTGAAACACCTGTACCTAGAATGTATGTATCTACATATACGACACTATATTGAAATGAAAAGAATTTCTAAAATTGGTTTCTTACATTTTAATTTATAAATTAAAATGTTTGGAAATTAATATGATAATGGAAAGACTACAAAAAATTCGTAATCAATCGAGACAATTATAAAATTGATTAAAATTTTATCATAATTTATTATTGAGTTCTTGATGAAATCACCAATTATATGATTTTGAAATCTATTTAACAAATAATTATTATTCTGATAATATTGCATAAAATTACTCCGATTATTCCATTTTTGGTTTTTTGTAATATTGTAGTATTTACTTAGTAAGCAAATTAATATAATTAATATATTAGTTAATTTGAAAAACCAAGAATTAAGCATTTCCTTAATGCTTATATAATTCAAGTATTACTTGTGGTTACTCCTTTTTTTGCCGTAGGATACCCTAAAAATGAAAATTAGATTATATGTAAGTACTGTAAACAACAGATTACATTGTAATAACAAAAAATATATGCAGTAGGGATAAGCCATATAAAAAGGCTTTAAACCAAACCAGAAATAACTTATAATTTGAAGGATAACCTAATTTTTTTGTTTTTCATTTAATACCGGATTAAAATAACCAACACAAATGCGTATAATGTTGATAAAACGTTGGATGCTTTATTTACACATTATATATACTTATGTAATTGTTACAAACATATGACATTGCATAATATATATATATATATTATATACAGTATTCGTAGATATATACATATATATAAATTATGTACATCAATATTTATAATATTTAATGAAATTTTCAATTATACTGAAAAGAAAAGCTTATCAATCCCAAATACATAATGTACTCATCAAGTCATACATACTCGTACTCGTAGCATACGAATTATTTTATACACAAGAAAAATGTATAATCATAAATGCTTTTGTAATTAATATGAAATTTTTAATCCTATATGTTATAGATTTTATCACAATCATTCACTCATATGCATAATTATATAGAGACTAAGAACTATAGAGACTAAGAACTATATAGAGAACTATAGAGGTATTAAAATTAGATAAAAATTTTTAAATGCATAATGTGTAATAAAACTATTTATAAAAGACTATAATATTTTATATTCTAAAAATTATAATTAATTTTATTAAAACCCATAAAAAAATTTATTATTTTAATAATATACAATATGTATGTATGTATGTACAATGCACAATGCATAAATAATGCCATATATGTGTGTATGCATTCGCATTTCAAATTTTGCCTAAAATTTTCGATCTCATAAAAAAAAAATTTTTAAATAATAAGCTATTTATAAATAAAGGTAGGTTCACACGAATTGAATTTGAATAGGTACGTCTACAATGTTACTGATTTAATGATAATAATAGGTACTTATGAATGTAAAAACGGAATTTCTTTACAAATATCGGTATAAATCGGTAAACTATTCTTACGAATTTCCTTAAAATATTTTCGTGCAATTATTAAGTATTCTATACATATTCTTCGTCACAAAAAAATTAATTTTTTAAACAAAAAAAAAACGAATCCCTCTCGCATGTCACACAGCACAGGATTCTTTCTTCAGTTATTAAAATAACCGAACCGGGAATTTTTAAAATCCAATATAGAGTTTGGGCTTTCAAATTTTAAGTGTTTCATTAAATTCTTTGAAAATCTCAAAAAATCTCCAAAGGAAATGAAAGAAAAGTTTCAAAAAAAATTTACACATCTTAAAATACATAAATAATATTCTACCTATTATTATTGTTATAATCAAAGGTATTATAGATTAACTAATATAAAATTTGTACCTTAATAATAAAAAATTCAAATAATTTTATTTCTGTCATTTTTAAAACCCAAAATCACGTCTCAATCAAAGAAAATAGAAACGATTTCAAACAATTAAGTATGTAGGTCAGTTGTCATAATATTGAATTAGTCAAATACCATCATAAATTGGAAAAATCTTTATTAAATAGCTGATTCCATGTGTTCCATTATTATATGTATATGTATTGTATTCTGCTTTTAAATCTATTTATTCCACAGATTTCCTTTGATACGTTGTATGTGTTTAAAAGTTTTTCTTGAAAAGTACTTTAATTTCAAAATAAACTCGATATTATTAATACAAATTTAAAAAAATATAAGATCGAAAAAAATATTTATTAAAGCACTCAATTTTATTTTAAAATTATGACTTTTTAAAATTAAAGTAAAATTATTATTAAATTAGATAACACGAAAAACGAGACAACGCTTACTGAAATTATTTGATTAACGCTATACGCGAAACGTCAAAATTGTGTTCATTGCCATAAAAATAATCAGCTGTTTATACACGTGCTTTTTGTTTCTTTAAATTGACGTTTTCATCTACTTTAGTTTATTTCAAGTTGCTGTAGCTCTTTATTAAAAAGAAGCTGAAGTTTAATTCTACTTTTAAATTACATTAATATTGAATAATAACAATAATCTTAATAAAATGAAAACAAAACCCGGTAGCAAACGGAAACTTAAAGAAAATCCTAAGAAAACTAACTTGGAAAAAATTGAAGATGAAGAGAGCGATACAGATGCTTTAAATGTAATTTTTTATAATTAGCATTTTAAAATAATTTTTGACAAATTTTTTTTAGGATAATTTAATGAAAACCGTTGAAAATGATGACGGAGATACAACAGATGATGAAGGAATTGAGAATAATTACAATTCGGACGATGAAAGTGAATTGAGTTTTGAGAGTGACGACGAAGGAAATTATAAACAGAAATTGAATGGTGAATCCAGAAGTATATCTGATGTGGAATCTGATAACTCAGAAGAAGAATCTGATGAAAAAGATAGTTCTGGTGAAGATGATGCTGAAAACGAAGAACCACAAGAGAGTGACGAAAACGAAGAAGAGGACGAAAGCGAAGTGGAGGACGAAAGCAAAGGTGAAGAAGGTGAAAAAAACAAAAATGAAGATAATGCTAAAAACAAAGAAAACAAAAAATCTGTGAAAGAGATGAAATCCAATTTATCGCTTAAAAACAACAAACTGAACTCTACACAAAAAGAAAAATCAAAATATACCTTATCGGAAGTTATGAAAAGTTCTAAAAATTCTAAAGCAAAAGAGGAAGATGAAATTTTAACATCAGATGAAGAAGATATTAGAAATACTGTTGGAAACATCCCAATGCATTGGTATGACGAATACAAGCATATTGGTTATGATTGGGATGCTAAGAAAATTATCAAGCCACCTCAAGGAGATCAAATTGATGAATTCCTTAAAAAAATTGAGGATCCCAATTTCTGGCGTACAGTTAAAGACCCACAAACTGGACAAGAAGTAATTATAACCGAGGAAGATATAGATCTAATTAAACGCATAAATACTGGAAAAATTCCAGAAAAGAATTATAATGAATATGCGGATTGGGTAGAATGGTTTACATCAGAAGTGGAACAAGTCCCAATCAAAAATGTTCCTGATCATAAAAGATCATTTTTACCATCAATGTCCGAGAAAAAAAAAGTATCTAGAATGGTTCATGCTCTTAAAATGGGTTGGATGAAAACAACAGAAGAACTAGAAAAAGAAAAACAAGCTAAGAGAGCTCCAAAATTCTACATGTTATGGGAAACTGATACAGGACGCGAAGAAATGCGTAGAATACATGATCATGTAACCGCTCCGAAACGTGACTTACCAGGTCATGCAGAATCTTATAACCCACCTCCTGAATATCTCTTTGATGAAAAAGAAATGAAGGAATGGGAACGTTTAGAAGATGAACCGCAGAAAAGAAAATTACATTTCTTACCTCAAAAATATAAATCTTTGCGAGAAGTTCCAGCTTATCCAAGATATATAAGGGAAAGATTTTTGCGTTGTCTTGATTTATACCTTTGTCCGCGCGCTCGAAGAACTAAACTAAATATAGATGCGGAGTATCTAGTTCCAAAACTACCTAGTCCTAGAGATTTACAACCCTTCCCAACAGTTGAAAGTATGGTTTATCGTGGTCATTCTGATTTCGTAAGAACAATAAGTATTGAACCCAAAGGAGAATACTTAATATCGGGAAGTGATGATATGACAGTGAAAAGTAAGCAAAACTATAGAAAACTCACATCACATATATCACCATATTGTTATTTGTTTTTTTTTAGTTTGGGAAATATCAACAGGTCGGTGTATTCGTACTATTGAAACGGATGATGTTGTGAGATGTGTTGCGTGGTGCCCAAACGCAAAATTATCCCTAGTTGCTGTTGCATCAGGACAACGCCTTTTATTAATAAACCCTAAAGTGGGTGATAAAGTTCTAATAACAAAAACAGACAAATTATTGGCAGAAGCGCCACAAAGGGAAGTTATTGAAAATGATAGAATTAGCGCAGCAGTACAATGGGAACCATGTACAGACAAAACCGATATGGAAAAAGGTGTTCGCATTATTATTAAACATTTTAAACCGATTACACAAGTAACTTGGCACGGAAAAGGTGATTATTTTGCTACAGTTATGCCAGAAGGGGCTAACAGATCTGCTTTAATACATCAATTGTCAAAAAGAAGTACACAAATTCCATTTTCGAAGAGCAAAGGTCTTATTCAGTATGTTTTATTCCATCCAGTTAAACCGTGTTTTTTTGTCGCAACACAACACAATATTCGAATTTATGATTTAGTAAAACAAGAATTAGTAAAAAAATTATTATCTAATTCAAAATGGATATCCGGAATGGCAATACATCCCAAAGGTGATAATTTATTGGTATCTACGTACGACAAAAAAATGTTATGGTTTGACTTAGATTTATCAACAAAACCGTATCAAACAATAAGATTACATAAAAATGCTGTACGAAATGTTAGTTTTCATTTACGTTATCCTTTATTTGCATCTGCAAGTGATGATTTATCAGTAATTGCTTCTCACGGAATGGTTTACAAGTATGTTAAAATATTAATATGTAATTGGAAATTTTACTAATTGAATCTTTTTCTTGAAATTTTTTTTAGTGACTTGTTACAAAATCCTCTTATAGTTCCATTAAAGAAACTTCTAGGTCATGAAGCCAGAGAAGAATTAGGAGTTTTAGATGTTGTATGGCATCCAACTCAACCTTGGGTATTTTCTTCTGGAGCTGATACAACAATAAGATTATTTACTTAAGGAAGCAAATTATATACAAAAAGATTTCCGTTTTAATTTTTTTTTTTTTATTAGACAAATTATTTTTTCATACCAATGGGGTATGAATAAAATGTGAAAGTTTATTAAACCGAATAAATTTTATAAAATTATTTTAACTTTTCTCAATTATGTTAATTAAATACTTATAATGAAAGTGAATATGTAAGGAAGTTTTTAATGACGATAAAAAAAGCATGGACCTTTCTTTTACAAATCAATTCAATCATTCGCATTTAATCATGCAAAGTTTTGAAATAAATAGGCTAAAGAATGTTGATAGATAATTCTGTATTAAAATAGTAATGATGGAACTATTCATCAACTTAAATAAGTGGTGCCTTAAAGAATTCTAAAAATTATATACAACGATCATTACATACATCTTAATTTTTTTAAAAAAGAAAGTATCATATTGTATTACTTACATATTGGAATAATACCCCGAAATCGGTACGTGCACTAATATACACTGTCAATTTTAATTACCACTTTTTATTTGAAATTTAACCTGTTAAGCGATTAGTTTCTCTTAGACAGCTCGATTTACTGTTCTGAATTAATTTCAAACGAAGACGCATATTAACAAGATACACGAAATTTTATTAACAGGGAAATTTTCGTTTTTTGCTTAACTTTAAATTTCATAGCAAATGCAATTTTCTTTTTCGGCATGACGCACATATACGACATCAACTACAAAATGGACTTTTAAAATTGACGCATATACACGACATAATCTCTTAACAGGTTAAAAACTTAAATTTAAGACGCGTATTTCAGGTTAATCCGTATTATCAATTTTACTATCGCCCTTTTTTAGGCGGTAACAGGGTTCACCCTATTTTCTACTGTTTCAATGCAATGTGAAAGAACTGAAATATTATTATACACTCTAACTAATATTGTATATTACTATGCTATAACAATTTTCTTACAGTTAACACAAGTATACTCAACATTTATTTCTATTATGAAAAATGCTAACCGGAAAATCGGTAACACAATGCTAAAATGTAAACTTCTTTTCTTTTATTAAAAATATATCTTGTTAACTATTCATATTTTTAATTTATGAAACAAATAAATGGTAAATATTTTATTATTTTTTTTAAATTATTTTTAAAATGATTTTTCGAAAATAAAAATTTAACATTGATGACGGCAAAATAAAATCTTTTACAAATACCTTTAATCGTTCAGAGCGGTTGATTCTTTTAATGTGGCTAGTATCAGTAGAATTGTAAAAATTAAAAATTTTCATTTTTACATAAGAGATGTCACTGTAATTATATCTATAAATTATTAATAATATTCTTATTAAAAACAGCGCCAATTTTTATCATAACAAATTGACAAGAATAAAGCGGTAAAAAAGAGTATTAATAGTTATATTTTATGCCATTTGGTATCAATATTATTATTTCTGTTGTAAAATAGATGTCACTGTACCTTAAACAAAAAAAAAATATATTTATAAAAAATGCGCGTTGAGTGCCTTTTTCTTTTAACATTATAATTGACAGTTCATTTTAGTTAATAACAAAAAACGGTAGATTACAATAAAAAATAAAATCACACACCACTACATGCAAATAGTTCACTCAAATTTTCATGTAAACCAAAAATCAAAAATCTCAGGTGTTTATTATTTACAAGAATTTTATTACTTTTCTTATTATTCCAACTTTTAAAGCGTATAGCGAAAGTATGAATAAAAAATATTTATAAATTTTAATATAAAAACTAAATTTCCAAAATCAAACTATAAAATTTTTGTGTAAAATTTTAAAAATTTTTTGTATTAAAAAAAAAAATTTAATCGTAAACAATATTGTCAAAACTATCAAATTAAGTGTAATCTTTGTGCTTAAAAGTAAAAAAATAAACCTGTTATGGGAAAGTTCTTTCAACGGTTTGTATTAACAATGCAGTAAGTACATCCAATTTTATATACATACACATTGCAATATATACATACATATAAACATATTCACGTGGAAAACTGATATTTTAAGCTTTAAAGAACACAATTTGAAAATTCATTATTGAAGCAAAATTGAAAATTAAAGAAAAATTTTAATTTCCAAAAAAAAAAAGAGAAATGAAAAATTGAAATTTTTATATTTTAAACATGCAATAAATTTAATTTTTATTATTTATACTAATATAATTATTAAGCATTAATTGAGATTTCTAACGAAATATTTTACTTTCTCCTAACAAACAGTATAACTAGCTTGCCTATATTTATTATTTAAGAAATGTTTGAAAATTATGGCCAGGCTAGAAGAATATAGCTCTATTATCATTAAACATTTTATTATTTACTTAGTTAATTACCATATCAAACCACTCATTTTGGTTGTGACTCACCCATATTTAAATGGAGTAAGTCACAATAATATTAATAATTTTTTAATTAAAAAGTAAATGTTTTTGGTTTTTATTGCAAGACCTTGTTATTCACCTTAAGACCTTCAAATAATTGTATTTGTATAGTTCTTGGGGGTACATTAATTTACTAACTTATATTTAAGAATTAATAATTCTAGTAATTCCTTGCGTTTCAACTCAATGTAAAATATCACACCTATAACTATCTTATGAAAAGACCAAAGCCACATCTAGCTCAGCTCAGAATAGATCACATGAATAAAATATTTTTTGACGACATACAACTTATGTTCCTTCGAATTCTGTTCTAGAATCTGTTGAGATTTTAATATAAGCATTTTTAATTTAATAGCATACGAGTAATTAAAACAATTATGGAAATTTCCAATTTTATTTAAAACGAAATTTCAAAAATAAATTAATAAGAAAAAAATCAAATTTAATTCATGATAAATTTTGTGTTTTCATGCGGGATTTTATTTATCACTTTATTACATTTGAGTTTTTTCTTTTTCCACCTTTGTTTTTTACTTTACAACGTAAAATCGTAAACTATGTTTAACTAGCGAAATAAAGTAAAATAAAATGATTTTCTTCATGGTTCATGCTTACATTGGAATCTACATACTTACTCGTACATACAACTTTATGAACGTTTACACTTAAATTTTGAAATTTCATATTGTAATACACCAATACCCTAATGTACGGAAAATAATTGTATATCGTAAATATACGTTTTTCTCTGTATTCTGGATTTATTTTTATTAGAATTCGTTTTGACAATTACTCAACCTCTGATCACAATTTTTTGCAATACGATCTATTTTTTATGATATGTCAACAAAAAATAATGAAAAAAAATATTTGAGTGCAATGTATCTTAGCTATAGTTTGATATTTTGACAATAAATCTACCATGTACAAGGTGTAATAAAATTGTGAATTAAAGTAAAATTAAACATAAATGCTGAGAACTGAGAAGTAAGTGATCACTAAATGACAGTTTGTAATGATGATGATTATCATAAAAATTTTGAAACAAATTATAGTTTAAAATAACGATATATATAACAACTTTTTACGATAAACGTTTATTAAGGTAGGAAGAGGTATAGAATGTCAATAACGTAACCACAATGTCAATAACGTGACATCAAGTCAATAACGAAAGTAAATTCTTTTTTAGTGGTTTACGAAAAGAAATCATTTTAATGTAGATTTCTATAAGCATATGATAGAAATGAATGGTCGACTTACGAAATATGGAGTTGATCTCAAGAAGCTTTTTTCCATGAAATTTTACGTGTTTTAGTTTAAGGACGGTAAATATTCTAATCACATTATAAAGACTGATCTCGTTATAGCGGTTAAAATGTATAAATATTATATTGGAATCTCAATTAAATACAAAACAGTCGTATTTTTCGGTACAGGTATATTAAAACTAGCATAACATATAATTATTATAAGAAACTGTAAATGTGGTAATTTCTTGTTAATTCCATCATTAAAAGATTATCTTTTGTGTTAACAAAAGAATATATAGAAAATTTTATTATAGGGGCACTATTGCTATGTCACCATGTAAAAATTGTTTCAAGAAGTTGCAAACAATTTAAGTACATGAATTGCATACCAACCTACATACATACGAGTACATATATATTGTTATCGTATATTTTTTATTTGATGAAACCGAAATTTGTAAGAAAGCCCAAAATGGGAAAGAAAACTTATCAAATTTTTTATGTGTTTTGGGTAATAAGAATAAAATTATAAAATATTTAAATTGTAGGGATCGTCATTGTTATAAATGCAAATATTAAATTGCAATTGTTACTAAATTCATGTTGAATAAATTGGGAAAGTGTGAAAATTAAGAAAAAAATAATGTGTTAATAGAAACGAACTTGAAAAAAACAAAATAAAATTACGCTTGCATGCAACTATAAAGTGTAATTTTTTTATTTAAATAACAATTGTACACTTATATTTTTTGGGGGCACACACGCATCTACATACATAATATGTGCTAAACAATTTTCCAATTTTATTACAATATTTAATTTAATTTTTTTGTTCTTTCTTACCATAATAATTGTTACAAGGTTGTGTAAATATACTCAGCTTATATGTAAACCATAAGTACAATTTCAGTGTATAACGTAAATATATGCAATCAAAATATTTGATTATCGTTTTCAATTAATTTGAGAATACAATTTTTGTGGCAGTTTCTGTGAAAATCTATTGAAAACGATATAATAATTATGTACGATGTAAACATGTATATGGCTATCGAAGACAATTTTAGAATACCAGAGATTTTTAGAAACACAATATATGCAAAACAATAACCTGCAATAAACGTAATACTGCAAACAATGGGATGAGTATATGCAATATGTTTTAGTCTAACTGCGATACGAGATCAATTGCACTATATTGCCAATAATTTAACAATGCTTGTAAACAAACTAGTTTAGCAACATTTGTTTATGACCACAAATATAGTGCCGTTTTTCCTATGTATCACGTATACTATGTTTATCACTTGCAATTGTAATAAATTTTGAAATGTTTTCTGCACAATTTTTTTCTTTCCCCGAAATTTTCTGAAAAATTTACAAACAACTCAATTTTTTTTAAATTCTTTCATGTATGTACAATTTTACATTTTTTAAAACTTACCATACTTTACCTATAACCGAAAGACATTTAATAGTGATGTTACTATACACTGTTATACACCTGCCTACATA